CCCCTACAACATACAACACACAACCTCCCCCTACAACACACAACCTCTACAACAAACAATCTCACAACACCCTACAACACACAACCTCCCCTACAACACACAACCTCCCTACAACACACAACCTCCCCCTACAACACACAACCTCCCCTACAACACACAACCTCCCCTACAACACACAACCTCCCCTACAACACACAACCTCCCCCTACAACAACAACCTCCCCTACAACACACACACACACCCTCCCCTACAACACACAACCTCCCCTACAACACAACCTCCCCCTACAACACACAACCTCCCCACAACACCTACAACCCCCTACAACACACAACCTCCCCTACAACACACAACCTCCCCTACAACACACACTCCCCCCTACAACACACAACCTCCCCTACAGCAAACACCCCCCTACAACATACAACCCTCCCTACAACACACAACCTCCCCTACAACACATCCCCTACAACCACAACTCCCCTACAACACCTCCCCTACAACACACAACCTCCCCTACAACACACCTCCCTACAACACACAACCTCCCCCTACAACCTCACAACACACAACCTCCCCTACAACATACAACCTCCCCTACACCCTGAGGATCCTTCCCTTTACCAACCTAACTACCTCCAGGCTCCCTCCCACCCCCCCATCCTGAGGTTCCTTTCCACCCCTCCCCCTCCCCTCCCCCCTCCACCTCTCAGCCTTGAACCCTGAATTCATTGGAGAGAGTTGGGTCTCCCGTCGCCACGCTTATTTCTGCTTCCTTCCACATCTGAGAAGTCAGGATCCAAGGATTAGACCCGGGTGGAGTGTTCCTCCTCCTCTAGAACAAGTTAATTAAACTAGATTTTACTACTACTGTAGGTGAGCCATAAACCACACTGGTTCTGTGTTCTGCTAGTCCTGTACTAGCCTCTCTCTATGGTGTTGAGAGACTTCTTCTTACATCAACTAAAGACAAACTACAAAACTAAATTTAGGGGCTGAGCATATAAGAATTCGGCAGACTACCCTGGAGGTATATATATATATATATATATATATATATATATATATATATATATATATATATATATAAACTAATCTTTTTTAACATTTTGACATTCATAGTTATATATATTAATATATTTATATAAATGTATATATATATATATATATATATATATATATATATATATATATATATATATATATATATATATATATATATATATACATAAACAAAATCCTTGTGTTTTATTACAATAGGCTAACTGCTTTCCTCTTCACACCATTAAAAGCTTTTCTGTACAAAGGCTAATGCTCACCTGATGAAGATTTGCGCCACATGAGTGAGATTGTCTTTCATGAGTCTATTACTCCGGCAGCATCATGGCCGGGCCACCTCGAGTAGTTGAATATATGTAAACTATTCATATGTATTCCCGTGATGGTTTTTATGTTGTAGGCCCAAAGAGAATTCTTTGCAAATTCTCTTTGATGTGATAAGTAGATTTCTGAGTTTCCATGAAATAATAAAAATGGGTGTCAGGATATTGAATAAGTGAAGTTATCAATATCCGTAATGAGTATAATCATTGCAAGAGAGCTGCTAATACTGAGAATATGTATAATACTATAAATATATATATAATATAAATATATGACTTTTGTACGATTTCATGAAGTCATCAATAATTACCGACGTCTACAGTACGTGAGAAGTGGAGTTCACGCCTGAAGTGCTTTTGTGATATACTACTAACTAAGGCCTGTATGGACCTGTGCAGCTGCCCTCACGACTCAGGTGCGGCCCATGAATGAACTGCCTGTGTGCAGCTTGGCTTAGCCCGTGCAAGCATATCCCTAAAAGCCCAGCTGAACGGCGGCCTGTGTGGACAGTGGTGTAGTGAGGTCTGTCTTGTGATATAAAGTTAACTCTGCCTGAGGACACTGGGTGTACAGAGCGGCAGGAGGAGTGTTGTGGGTGTTTCAGTGCCTCGGGGCAGTGACCACCACGCCCACCCGGAGCCACACATCGCGTGGGTCTCCCTCGGCTCATGCACACACGCCACGTTGAGGAGCATGTTGCCCTAAGTTTATATAAAGCTCACGTGGTGTATCATCGCCCTCTCTGGCGCTCTTGGTCATGTGCTGATGAATCCCTCACACCTGGAGCACTGTTCGTTCACGCCTTAACTTGAATTTTGTACAATCTTGTGGGAGACTACGGGAGGGGCAGGCAGCAGCAGAGCCCAGGCGCCAGCAAAGCCTCAGCACGGGGCGATGATGCACCACCACCACCCCAAAGTTTCGTGTGTAAGAAGCCTCAAGCCTATATGTTCATCGCTTTGTACCGCTTGAAGATATATAGCATATGCTAATGGTAATAACTAGAGTACTTTGCGTTACCGCTCATGGGTAACACAAAAACTTGGCGCGGAAAGTTCGGGATATACGCGGTCACTTGTCTCTACATGTTACTTCGCTGTCTGACGCTGTCCAGGGCAAACTAGGCACCACCACCAGTATTCTCGCGCTCCTTACACATGTACGAGTTTACTTTTAAAATTTTTATTGTCTAGTGTTAAAAAAATGTAAAAATAAAACGAACCTAACAATATTTTGTAATAATAGCCATGAATTTGATCATATATATATATGTATATATGTGTGTGTGCATTGTTATTAAGTCAAATATATTTGCTCAGTGAATATAGGTAAACACAATTGGATATAAACCATTAAAGATAATCATTTCAGTCTGTTTATGATACAAAAAATAACATAAGAAATATTTGAGATGATGATTATTTTAGTCCGCCTAATTTGTACTGGGTAACAGTGTCAAACCCTTTAAGGTGTATATAGCTTAAAGTAACAGTAAGGTTAGAATTGATTTACCTGCATGAGTCTGATGAGTTACTGTGTTCATGTCTAGCAAATGTTAGACTCTAAATGTTATTATAACTTTACTGAAGAAATGTTTGAGTATGAAAGTTATATTATTATATATGTATTTACCTTTTCTATATAAAGTCTATTTAAAAAAAAAAAGGACTTTAACCTAATAGCTAAGTCGTGCATTTTTCTTCATGTTTCTTTCAATTTTTTGTCTGCTCTCTCTCTCATATTACCACATCTCTTTCCAATCTCTCATATTACCATATTCTTTCCAATCTCTCTCTCGTCACCTATTTGCCATTTTTATCGTAATTTCTGTCTCTATCATCCTGTTTGGCTTCATCCCATCTTAGCTGAGTTAAGTTAGTCTTTCATTCTAGCTGGGTTAATCTTGCTATCATCCTAGCTGAGTTAATCCATCATCGTAGCTTAATGTCATCCTTGCTGGGTTAACATGATCTTAGCTTTGTTAATCTGACTCTCATACCAGCTTACTATATCTTATTATCATCCTGAATTTTACTGTCATTCTAGCCGGGTTAATCTTGTTATCATTCATACTGGGTTAATCTTGTTATCATCCTAGCTGGGTTAATTCTGTTATCATCCTAGCCGGGTTAATCCTGTTATAATCCTAGCTGGTTTAATCTTACTATCATCCTACCTGAGTTAATCTTGCTATCATCCTAGATCGATTAAGTGCAATTCCATTTCCTCTTCGTTATTTCTACATTTTCCTCATAATTGTCTTCCATATTATCCTCTCTATCGTCGTATCCCTGTGCCTCTTTCTTTCATCTTTTTCGTAACTATGATTCATGTTCTTCACTACGACAGAGAACTTGTAATTTGATTTGACTTAATTTATCAATGCGACTTAATTTCATCTTTTGAGTTTGGCATTGTCACGCTGCCACGTTCATGTCATATACTGTCATACTGTTCTCAGAGTCTCGTTATCCTCATATTCTATCATATCTCCCCTCATATTGACATGATTATCCCCTTCATATTGTTGTTGTCCCTTATACTATCATGTTACCATCCCTCCCTTTCATAATTATATTCCCCTCATGCTGTCATATCTCCCTTCATATTGTTATGGTCCCTCATACTGTCAGATCCCTTCATATTGTCAATTTCCCCTTTTTACTGTCATATCTCCCCTCATACCATCAATGGCCCTCATGCTGTCAACTATTGTCATACTGTTATAACGTTGTTTCAT